GTCGGTGGGCCGTCGCTCTGCGTGAGCTGCGAGGGCCCCATGTGGGAGTTTCCTCCTGATGTAGAGCGTTGCGTCGGGGTAGAGGCACCGGTCGGAATGCTGTTGGACGAGTCTGTCCGCCCAGCGCCTCGCCTGTATCGTCCTGGTGAGGGCTTGGCAGGTGTATCGCCTATTGAAAGCGAGAGATCGGGTATGGAGGTGGATAGCGTGATGGAGGGCGCAGCGGAGTCGTAAGGTTTCTTGGCGTCGCGGTCATCTCTGGCAGCTGCGGGTGGCCCAGCCGACGAGCGGTTGGACGAGCCAGAGGTGGAGACTGTGGAATCGGAGGATGAGGAGGGATGAGAGGGGTGGCCGAGTCGTGTCTGGTTGGCGTGGCTGGGAGGCTGCTGCAGGGTTTGGGGGGCTGGTGTCGAGGCAGACCTGTTGTCCTGGCGCAGCTGGGGCGTGCTGTTGAAGGCATACGGGGCTATGGGTGCGGCGGTCCCTCTGTAACCAGTGCCTCCCGAGTTCCCATTTTGCTGGTTGCGCGGCATCTGCGAGGCCCGCTGTTGTTGTTGGTTGGGGTGGTTGGGCGTGTTTTTGTAGGCATCGGACGGCGAGTAGGGCATTGTAATGGGTCCTGTCGTCTGGATGACTGATGTGAGTACCTGAGCCATCGGAGGCCTGCGAGGTAGCGCTATCAGGAGCTCGACGGGGGTGGGCGAGGACTCGTCGGCGGCAGGAAGCGGCGACCGAGACGGGCAAAGGAAGATCTGTGGAGGGCGGGCGCATTAGCAGGGGGCTCTGAGAGTGCGAAGGCTGCGGGTAGTGGAGCGATGGGCATGGTGGCCGCGGTCGCGGACGGGAGGCAGGCGACCAGAGCGTGGCCTTTAGGGACGGGGCATTGGGGGGCAGGCAGGCCTGTGTCGGGGCTCCTGGGGCGGCGACGGGCAGCTGGGGGAGGTGTACCTGCTATGAAACAAAACGGACAAAGTATTAAAACAGAGAATAGAATGTAACGTCGTCAAGCGCTGGGAAGGCTGTCGTGAATCGACGGAGATGGCAGCGTGTACCAAGCCTCCCGAGCAGTTGTTCAAGCCTGCATTGGTCGGTCGTGGAGAGTCGGTCTTCTGCTGCTGACAACGACGTGCGATTCAACAAGCAAGCAGAAAAGGAAATAATAGAGGGAGGGTAAGGTTGGCCGTCGCGGTGAAGAGTTGAGGTTGTCAGGCAAAGGGGCCGCACTAGTCTCTGGAGCACGCACGGACGGGCGCGGCTAGGTCTAGGAGATTCAATAACTTCCTCACGCCAGACAACGAGCACGTTGCCCTGCCTCGCCAGGTGCAGCAGCGTCTTTATGCCAGCCTGCCTGTGCGGCCAACCCGTCGCAGGCGTGTGGACGATGCTGGATGCCGTGAGCCTCTGCTTCGTAGCCTCATGGCCTCACGGCTCGTGGCCCAGGGCAGCTGCCGCTCGTCGTATTCACGCAAATCTTCATAGCCGATGGCCGCTGAGCTTCATCCGCCCCGACATTGTGAAGACAGCGTCCATCACCTCACCTCACCTCGCCAGCTTCACTTTGACCCTGGTCGTGCCCCCGTCATATAGTGCTCGGGCGCAGCCGATATAAGCAACAATATCGCGGCGGCCCATTTGCACCTCTAACCACATGTTGATCCTGCCACATTCCCACCCTGCCGTTCGGAAGCTTCTCGCTGCATGGCAACGGCACACTGCACCAGGCCCGGCCAACGTCACCGCTGCCTGCAAACCCTCCTGTCGCGGCTGGTGCGTCGACGCGTTGCGCTTAGGCCGAGCAGATACGACGCGAACTGGTAAACACTTACGAATTCGCCTCTGCGAGGGTCCCCGACGGCCAATCCGCAGCGCGCGCCCGGCGTCGCGCGACCCACCGCACCTGCGGCTCAGCCGTTTGCAGCAGTTGGTGAGTAGCGGTGGGCTCGTTAGGTCGCTGGCGGGCTGCGATAACGACGCTCCAAAGCCCGCCTTCGCCATGTTGATGCTTCACCGACACGTCTGTACCCCGCTCCTCTGCACGCCAGTCTCCCGTCCCTCTGCTACGCCGTGCCTGCTCCTACTGTGCCTACCTGATGCCACGGCTCTACCAGCACTCCCCACCTCTCCTGCTCCCGGCACTGCATGCATGGCACCATTGCAGAGGGTCCCGGCACCACGTCGGGCCTTCCGCGAGACTCGTGCAGGATCGCATCCCCGTGATGAAATTTGCGGATTGCGATGTTCCCCAAGCCGTGGGGAACGGGACGAGGATGCTCGGCTCAGCGAGATGAGAGCTGTTTGATGTGCATTGTCGAGGCACAACATCATTTCCTCTAATTGCGCGACCGCACTCGAGACACGCCTAGCAGTCCCGTCTCTGCTGTTGTGCAGAAATGGCAGTGGTGCGCGGCGTCGCAGCTCATGGCGTTCGAGGGTGGGTTTTCTCCGTTCCACCATATCTTTTTGTGCCCCGCTTTTCTCGCCAGGGTGACGCGATCATCAGAAAGACGCGATCAGTGCGGCTTCTATTTTGAGCAGCACCACCAATCAACGACTCGTGTGGAGAGATCGAGGAAAACCTCCTGCTTCTTCGGGAATCATCTACGCTGACTACCAGCCCTCACCCACATGTCTTCACGTCCTCTTGTGCATCATTATTCCTCGCGTTCTTCGGCAGTAAGAGAATCCCGAGACTCGTCCAGACGGAGCATTTGCGCTAGCCTTTAGCACAACGCATATAGAATTGACTCTCGCGGAGCTAACCAGGGTCCCAAATTGGCGGTACTTCATTGTCGTCGCAAGGAACCATCCCTCTCGATCAAGGCTCTATTACTATTCCTATGCTGAGACGCAAATCCAGCTCGCCGATCAAAACCTGCCTGCTGTATCCTGGACACTGCAGGGAAGGCAATTGCAACCGATCGTTGTGCGTGTCAAACACATCACCATGTCTGAATTCTCGACCCGACGACACCAAGGCTTGGTTGGCTGCCCATGCTCTCGACTGATCCACTGCATCTCTGGGGTATTATCATACCCAGTCCATCCGCCAGTATCGAAGTCCAGATCTTAATCGCCACGATGTCAATGTTGACGCTTTTCCGTGTCCGCGGCAGCTGCGCAAACACGCTTTCATACCTCAATACAACCCAGCGATTATAGCCGTTATGTTTAGTCTCGACGCGTCCATCGACCTAGAGCACTCCCAACGAGTATTTGGAGAGAAATTCTTACCAACCACCAATCAAGCATTTTGGCTCATCTACCCGTCTGGAACCCCACATGCGTCCAATCGCTGTCTAGATCGGCCAAGCACGCACGAGGAAGCTTTTGTGGCTGCTCTGATTAACGTCACACAGGGTAAAGCCCTTTACTAGCAACGTAGTCTGCGCATTTGTTAGCAGAACAGCCAATTGGAACGCGCTTGATGTTTGAACGTCTCGCTTGGATGTTTCTTCCGATCGTCGATTGCCGTCCAGCCGCTGTCTGCGGGATCTCCAATGCCCATGCACAGTGCGCCACGGAACTGGATCTGCTGTCCTGTTGTCGGTGTAGTAGCTGTGCAGCTCGGTGCGCACGACCTCTTGGGATGATGAACACACACCACTGGCACGCAGGCATGTTCTATCCTTGCAAACAACCCACGCGAAAACTGCTGAGCACGAAAGCTCTGATATGGTAGCGTTCGCGGTTGTGTGGATTTGCTAGTCAACCGCCAAGAACAGGAGGTAGCGCTGAAATTGCTATATTCTGACCGCTTCAAACAGCTTTGTTAGGTCTGGGGCGTCTCTCACATGGTCGTTCTGTCGGGGTCCAGGGATGCATTACATCTTGACCTACTTGTGGCTGGACAATCCATGCTTGTCCAGTGAGAAGAGGACTGATTGCTACGAAACGTGCCACAATGGCGGGAACAGACTTCTGCTCACCATCTATCTACTCTAGCAAAGGCTGTATACTCCACAGCCCTTGGAAAGCGCAGGACTCAAAACTCCGCGCTGATCCCTACCCCATCAGCGTCGAATCTCACTTTCTTCACTGATCGTCCATCTGACATCATTGCGAAGACACGTCAGCCTCCGTGTCGTTGAGGAGCCAACCCACATGCACCATTGAGTCGCGTCCACTTTTTGGTCACCGCGTTTCAGATTCAAGGTTATCGGATCGACAAGAACGGGTATCATAATCTCCCGAACCCTGATTTACCCAAGACGACGCAAGGATCTTCCGCTGCAGACCCGGCAGGTTTGTTTATGTGCGTCAAGTTGCTTGTCTTAATTGTCTTGACAGTAACGCGACCTGGTCGCTGGGTTGGGTAGATGTATCTGAAACGTGAAGATCGATGGCTGCACGCATATCATCCCGCGTTCTGCCACCGGGAGGATGGAGATATCAACAGCCTGCTTGGCATTATAACGAGCGCGTGTGGAACGTCTAACTACTTACCGTGACTCGTGTTCAGTACCCGAAGCAACAAGGTACCGGCGATGGTGGAGATTGCAAAAACAACGACCACAACGAAACATACAACTCCAGACAGAGCATCAGCATGTTTGAGGAGCGTCTCAATTGCAGGAAAAAGCAAAAAATAAGCGAAGCCCATGGGGATCGAACCCACAACCTGTTATCTGTTAGAGTCTGGTGGGTGTCTCGAGGCGCGGTGAACTATACCTTTGGTGTTTGATGTTTTCAGCCGAAAACCAACGCGCTACCATTGCGCCAAGGCTCCTCTTTAGGAAGTATAGAAGACTGTCGCGAAATCTGCCCTATATAACTACACTCAGAACTATGCGTCCTCGCCGTGCGAGCTTCCAGCCAGACTAGAGAGCAAAAATGCGGAATCCAAGTGACGAGTTCCTGCATTCTACCCCGCTGTTAGCCAGGCGCTTAGAGCATCCGGCGTTGGCGGCACCCCACTGGCACGTGACCCAGCGCAGGTCTGCAAAAAGACATCTCCCTCCCCAGCACCACCACCACGACGACGCGCAGGATGGCAAAAGGAATGCATCGGCCGGGAATCGAACCCGGGGCTAGCCGAAACTGTGCTGTGAAGCATGGCAACGGCTAATTTTACCACTAAACCACCGATGCGGATTGGAGGTGTTGTTGATGGAGGATTGAGCCGATGGTACTATTATATTCCTAGCAGATTCACGCGAACGGCATCCGGGGATTCGATGTGAGGATTGGAATATCCTGAGTTGATTCGGGTTGTTCAGGGTAGTGAAGAATTTGACTGGGCTGTGGGTCTGGAACGCCGTAGACCTGTACCACTGAGCTACCCCTCTATCGATAACAGCGTTGCAACTTCCAGCGTCTGGAGTTGACTACAGGTGTGGAAACAGACACTGTTGTTCGATTGCATTCTCGAGGTCAGGTTTGGAGACAGAATTTGAGCAATTGCAGAATCTACACCCGAGCGACTACGACGGGATAGAGCGGCACCGTGGAGTCTTCCTCAAATTCAGATGCCTCGCCGTCACAGAGACTATGTGTACGACTATGTGTACCATTCTTCGAAAGATACTAGATAATCATTTTGGCAAGGTAATAATATCTATCATTAAAGTGTTGCCTTACAGCAGCCCTCATGTTTCAGTGATGTACCTATAGTGCTCTTCTGATACCACTCAATACCTTCCTCGAGTACGCAGAGAGACACATGCATTTAGCAGGAGGACTCTACATAGGAAATCCCAACCCCTTCGCGTTCAAATTGGCGCCCCACCATTCGAAATCGTTCTTAGCTCGACGCCACTCACGTAAACTCATTCGTCCTTCGAGAAAAAGCCAACATCTCCGCTCTTCTGTCCCATCTCCACGAGCCTCTCTCTCATCTTCTTCGCCCTTTCTGCCATGTCAGGTTCAAATCCCTCGAAATCGTATTCCTTGGCCCTGAACGTAGGTGTAAGAAGTCAGTGTATGTCTCACGCGCAGTTCGTATGGGATACTTACCAATCACCGACACCGTGCTGCAACACATTCCTCGCTCGCTCGCTCCCCGCATGTGTCGTTCCTATACTTCCATGCAACGTCATCCTTTCTTTCGAACTGTCGTACACGCCGCGATGTAGGATGTTGTTATTGTAGAAGGCCACCTCGCCTGCCTTGAGTTGCACAGTAATCTGGTCGGGCATGTGTACTTCGTACGGGTCCGCATTTCGTTCCGTCTCAGTGCGTGCGCGTTTATGCGATCCAGGCACAAGTACAAGGCTGCTGTCGTCGTACAGTGCAAGGTTCCACTGTGCGTGATGCCCTGGCTTCTTCAATCGCTCGAGCTCTTCTTCAGGCGTTGCGGTAGCTGCGACATCATCTCTATGCCAGCGCAGACTGAAGTCCTCGTCTGGTCGAACCAGCATGTTGTATAATTCCATGGTCAAATCGTCCTCGCCACACCCAATTAGTGCTGCGACGTACTTCAGAAGCTCGCTGTCAAAGTACGATCTTGCGAATGTGAGATGATCGGGATTTGACGGGTGGAGCAGATGCTGCACGCCCCAGATGCCTTTCGAGGGATCTTGTGGCCATGGTGGGAACTGCTTCGGCAATGTACGTATATATGGCCATGTCCCAGATCGTGCCGCTTCTGTCATGCGGGAGGCAGCAGCGCGCAGGGCGTCGAGATCAAAAGACGGGAAGAGCGAAGCCGATAAGACCACGAAGCCATCGCGATCGAGAGCTTCGCGAGCTGCTTTGTACGGGTCGGCGCTCGATGAGGTGATGTTGTTTGAGTCCGAAGGCCCATTTGATGCTGGCTTAGCGGCTGGTTGCGCTATCGGTAGCTGCACCCTAGCCCTTGCACTTCCTTTCGGGCCTCCCTTGTCGGGCTGGTGTTCAAACTTCCGCATCTTCTCTGTACCTGGGAGGAAGTGTGATAGAAAGAAAGCGCTGAGAGCTACAGACTTATGTACGTTCCAACACGCAGTTCGATGTCGATGTGCTACCCCGCTAGTGCTGTTAGCCCCGCAATGAGGCCCATTTGGGCATGCCGTAGTACAGACGCAAGCCGTATTGTACATCCAGCTCCGAAATCCCTACTATAAGGCTCTCGGATTAGGAGATGATGAGGTCACGAGGTTATACCAGCGAAAAACAGGGAAGAAAGACATGCCCAGACATGGTAGACGCGTTCAAGAGTGGGCGAGTCTCTTCACTTATGAACAGCAATGAATATTGGAGCTGTGGTCTGGATAGTTATTTCCAGTCTGAAGAGTAACGCTTGATTGAAATTCCGAAAAGAGCGACTGTCGCACTAGAAGTAGGAGAGGTTCGTCGACACGTAAGCACACAATCCAACACTGTTTCCCCTCTTAACATGCATCTCAGTCCAAGACCTCGATGTCATCCTAACCAAACTTATTCCGCAATCTCAAAAGCCTTCACCGACTCATCCAGGTACCCGTATCCTGCATTCGCTTTGACAGCTTCGACGAGAATGGTGGTGACATCAGAAGGAACGTCGCCTCCAATCCTAAAGTGACGGTGCTTGCGTTCGACCGCATCCCAAATCCCAGCCACATTGGGCTTGACAGCATCAACAGACCTCTTGGCAAATCTTCCCTTCAGACGTTCGTCCCCGCTGTGCCAGAGTGAGCCTCCAGTCTCCTTTGCACCACATCCTTCTTGACCACCACCGGTAGCCCAGCAGAAGTCTTCGAAACCTCCGCCGCCGCCACAGTAGCCTTCCGTAGTCACGGCGCATGGGTCGCCGTCTTCGCCGTTGAATACGGCGAATGAGTCTGGATCGCGGCCATCGACCTGGGTGTTGTTGAGGCCGCGACCTAGAATCGAGCTTGTAGTCTTCCAAAAGTTCGCACAGCAGGTTTCAGCAGGGATGTTGCTGCACATAACTAAGGGTTGATGTACAGAATAAGTAAATGGCCCACACTTGGCCAGCACGGGGGACATTGCTTACAGTAGGCGCCGTCAAGGTCGAGGTTGCACTCTGTGTTAGGAACGCTGTCTTCCCAGATGGCGAACTGGATAATGTCGACAGCATGAGCCATAAGAGGCAGAACCGCAAGGATGAGACTCTGAGTGTACATGGTGAGTTTGGTGGTAGTTCGAGCCGTTTGTGTGTTTGAGTGGTGGTTGATGAGGTGAAGCGAGGGCTAGAAAGCTGATGTTGATATCTGAAGGCCTCATCGTAACTTTATATACACGACTTCAGATATTGACCCACATGCTTTACCCATTACATCTATTCTCAAACGAAGAGATGGTGCTAGTAAGGCAGACTTCCACGCAGTGGTCCATCCTCTACGCGACCATCGCGAAGGATCACAAGTTTACGCCCGTGGCGGAGGTCCAGAGGTTTAATCCACTCCCAACGTCCCTCTTTGACTTGACGGTGCTCGGTTGCGTACGCGATATTTACTTGCTACGCAGGTCTTAGGCAGGTAGCCAAGAAATAATCTGCCGGTCGAAGCACGCATCAAGAAGCTAGTCTTTCACCCACGGGAACGGCTCAGTGACTGCACTGCGGCCTTGCATATGGTCGGTGTTGAATCTGTTGTCGCGTTTTTGAGGCGGAGTCCACGGTTGCGTCGCGAAGGATCTGGCGCTAACGCAGCGAGGACTGGAAAATCCTAAGCACGGGGTAATGACCCCTATAGGACGCATGTCCGCTTGGTTCAATCAGATTTAGCCGGTATAGCATAGACAAGTTGACGCCCTTCGTGTGCGCGGTCGCGGACCCAAGTTAGACGGCCGATTTGTCAGGCCAGGTTGTGTGAATGAACATGTTCGACGGGTGTATGATCCCCGTAGTCTGCACTTTCAACAACTTGTTACCAGTTGGTGTAACCGGGAGATTTGCACGGGTATGGCCGGGCCAGATCCTCGACAGGCCAACAAAGCAGTTGCAATATCGGTCTAGGCCATGGTCTCCGACGTATGCTGTCCTTGACAACGCTGTTCTTGTACCAATCGTCTTGAACTCTGCAAAGGTGAACAGAGTAGCCTCCACGATGTAGTAGAATACCTGGGAGAGGCCTTGTCTACTGGTGGCTGCTGAGCTCTCAAAGTACACGAGGGACTACGTTTCCGTTACAAGTTTGCCAGCCTGCATCTAGGATTAGTGTGACATGTCTACATAGGGTTTTAGACATAGAAATTGCGATGAGATGAGATACAGACGTCCCTTCTTTGGTAGCATCCCTTCGACTTCGTGTGCATGCAAGCAGTGTTTTATCGCAGCCCTTAAAGGACGGATTCTCTTCGCTCATCTTCCACAGACCGCCCTTGGTAAGATCCGGGATCTTTCTGATCGATGAGTTAGGCGTATCGCATTCGTTTATGTAATATCCACGTTGCGAATGATTGACGAGATGCCTCGGCAGGGTTGACGGTGTAGGTATTGCCGAGAGCCCATTCCGGATCCTCACTATTGGACGAGCACGCTGAGGAGCTCGCAATAGCGGGTTGATGTGACTTCGTTGCTTTCGACGCGGCATTTGATCTTGTCAGACACACGAACAGAGGCCTCGACGAGAGTGATAAACCCTCATGACCTAGAAGCCAGGATGGCTTCAGGCCGTGCGGCATTTATAGGTGATCAGCGTGATGTCTAGAGGTTGACGGTATCCCAGGACATAATACAGGCGCTTGCAACTCTAATACGAATTGATGTATGTGATGATACACAACAATTGCGAAAGCTCATTGATTGAAGCAGGACCCATTCTTGAAAGCAAACGGCAAGAGTTGGAGGGCCCCGTGGTGACTAAGCCCACGGTGACTAAGCCCCGCGCCAACCAATCCTAGAAAGGAAGCCCCACCATGGCTGCCTCCAACTCCCAAGGTCTCTCTCCATTTTGACTATTTTCTACCTTATTTATTCATCAGCTCCTGATTTTCAAAAAGATCGCAAGATTGGAGTCCTTAGAGAATAATACGACGAAATGGGGGATGTGAAGATGGCGTATTCTACCTACGTAAAGACAGTCGGAGACATCGCCAAGTCTAACGCGGCAGCAGAACGCCAACGAGAACTTGAAAGTCAGCTCTGCTTGAGCCACACTTTGTCAAGTGGGAGTTTTCAATTTTGAGTGTCGTAAGCGCTCTTCCGAGACCCATGCTCATTAGTGCAGCCTTCTTTTTTATCAGTGCCCGTGTATTCGTAAGCACTGTGGACGCCTTACAGGAGTATTCCCACGAGTTTCTACTCGATCCTATAACTGCGGGAAACCTATATAAGTGCCTTCAAAAGCTATTAGTAGAAAAACGATGGCACGAAGAACGGATCCAAGGGATGATGAGTGGAAAAATGTCCAAGATGCGAAGAAGAGGAAGCAGATACAGGACCGATTGGCACAACGTGCACGCCGTATGTGTGGACCATCGCGCATGCATCATTTTATACTCATATAATGTAGGGCAGCGACTACGACAAGCTCAAAACGAAACCAGCATATCGACATCGCGATTGCCTCAAACCCAACGCCCGGAATCCTCCACGAATGTTACATCATCTGAGGTCGCAATTAGATCCAGTCCAGACGATGACGCGCATCCTAATACGTCGAGATCACCCTGCCCACATTTCCAGAACGTAGAAGCACATTCTAGCGCACTAGAGCTTGAGTTAACGTGCGACCCCTACCCCCAAACTTGCTCCATACCTTCCCCACTAGCCCAGACCATAACCCCCTTGACCGTCTTTGCTGCACTCTATGCAAACGGCGACATCCAAGGCATTTCCTGCGCTACTACCTACTCCTCACGGACTCCCATGCCGAAACCGCATATTCCATTACCTCTGCATCCAACAGAGCTGCAAATGATGATTGTACATCCGCGGTGGATTGACCGGCTCCCATTTCCGCGCATGAGGGATAGTTTAATAAAGCTGATGGGTGTGGTAGACGAGGAAGAGCTGTGCAAGGACTTGTTTACTATGCCGAGTTGGGCCATTGAGCCGGGATACGCATCCTGGGATCACAGGGCCTGGAAGATGGAAAGGGAGTGGGAAATGAAATGGGGGTGGTTAATGATATGAGGGTATCGGTTACTGATGAGAAAATGCTTTGTTACACAGCCAATGAACCTAAGAGATCAAGAGAATCTCGCATTTATTTTACAGAGGCAGTCTTCCTTCCACCGCAGTAGGTACCTATCGTTTGAGCTTGCGGTGTCGCTCAGCCGTCAACCTTCCTTCCTTCCCCTCCTTCGAATCGATGCTTCCCAATTTCCAACACGTCGATCTTATCACCTACTGCGACGGCTCCTGTATTCAATGGCGTGACTTGCATACCCAGACACGCATTCTTAGACCCCTCATCGATAATCCTGTAACTCCTCAACGTAGTCAGAGGCTCGTTCTTATCGGCTACAGCAGTTTTTGGGTCGACGTTAGGCAACTTGCACCTGGTCGTCCGACACGAGATGTGCAGGTTCATGGAGGATGTGGAATCAGATGAAGTAATTTGCGCCTGCTTCCAGTCGTCTTCGGCAAAGGCAGGAGGTCCCGTGATGTAAATATTTGCGCGGAATCGCAGCGCGTCGAGGAGGGTAAGATGCCGTTGCCAGAGTTCTGGAAGATCGGAAGAGGGATTGGGGAGCTTGGATGCTACGTCGTGGACCGAGGCGAGATTCAAAATATGGATCGGGTACTGTAGTACTATTAATCATAATGCCGTAGAACGTCAGGACACAATCTCCAAGGTTCTGGCGCCTGAAACGGCAACAGCTGAGATCAAAGAATCGTAAGACATGACTGGAAAGGTCCATACGTACCGAATCGTGCATTCCAATGACCGTCTCAAATCCAACATCCTCCTTTTTGGGCGCGCATTTGTGTACTTCCCGATACGCATTCGTGTCAGTTCTGAAGAGCGCAATTGGATTTGCTGCGCCAAGGGTATATCTCAACTTCTCGAAGACTTCGCGATCAATCTCCGAGCTAACATTGAGTGCAGTAGGGCTGTCTTTCCAGATACGCAGAACTTCGCTCCGATATTCCTTGTTCTTGATCCTCTCCGGCGAAGGGTTGAAAGGTACTCTGAACTCCAGCATCGGCTCCGGTTTTCGACTCAACCTTGCCAACATGATCTTTCCATAGTTGATCAGACCGTCGATAGTGAAGTCGGTGTCGGGAGAGAAGGGGAAACGAATGACCAGGCAACCCTCACTTTTGATCCATTCTCCGTCTTCTTTATAGCCTCTTGCCGAAGGATCCGGAACCCAAATCTCAGTCTCGACTTTGGCAAGACGAGGAAATTTCCTTTGGGTCATAAAGTGCCATTCACTGGTCACCTTACCGTCTAGCGTAGGCAAGCTCGTGACTTGCTGGGCGAGGGTAAACTGGCGATCATATTTCAGTCCTGTACGATCGATTTCGCTCTTGCTCAACTCGACGGGTGCGCCTGACTTCAGGGGGTAGACGAAGAGTGCCTTGACCGTCCATGGCTTCTCTGGGGTGGGGTCACCGCCCTTGGCATATCTCCTAGAATACTGATCTTCCAGATTGCTGCGTCCTTGGAGTCCGAGTTTCCGGCAACCAGCTGGCGGAGGTAGTGGCTTTGGTGTTTTGAAGGCAGCGAGAACAAGCAAGACTACCAGAGGGGCGATACAAGATGCTGTCGTGAGGAGGACTGCCTGGAGCGTTATGTTGATGCCAGCTTCTTTAAGCATACCATTGGCGGCAAGTACGAAGTTTTCAACATTTTCCGCCATGCTGATGGAGACGTTGACGCCGTGTTAGGGGGAGGAATGTGGCGTGTGGTCAAAGGAGAGATCTAGACGCTTGAAGATGCGAGTCTTATCGTGAAAACATGCCAAGGTATAAGCCTGAGCAATATCATCGGCGCTAGAACACAGAAGGCAGGTGTGTTTGAATGAGTGAAAGACCAGATCACACAAAACCGCGCCTCGCTTGACGCAGTATTTTGTGTTGCGAGAAGGAAGCAAGGCATGTGGAAGTGAGGAGAGCGTGCGAGTCATGATAAACCGCGGCCCGCATTTGCTCTCGACAAAGTATCCCCAGCACCCACCATACACACCTTTTACCCACACGAAGGCTATCTCGACCCCATCGCGCACAGGACACGAAGAATAACGCGAGACGTCATGCACGTCAACGCGAGATCACGAGACTACCGCACCACCATCTCAATCCGCTGAGGCTCGACCGCAAGCCACGACACACCATGGCCAGTGAAGAAGCACCCCAGCTCTCACCCTCGTCGCGTACGCAATTGCTCCTCTCCCGCAGATGGCATAGATAGCTGACACTATAACAGACAGGCTGCCCACCGTCTCGGCATCCCAAGCCCTCCAAAGCCTCCATGCGCGCGGAGCCCGCACTGTATCGACGGGCCTCGCACAGCTCGACCAGGTCCTCTCACCGCCGAGCCTACCGGGCCACCATGTCTCGGGCGGATACATACGCGGCAAGGTGACGGAGATCTTCGGCCCGTCCGGAGTCGGCAAGACAGCATTAGGGTAATTGTGCCTGCGTCACAGCTTCACGAGAGACGGCGACTGAAGGGTTCAAGGATACAGGCTGCAGTCTCTGCCCTGCGCGAGGGTCAGCGAGTGATATGGGTCGGTATGTATATGTGGTCAACTGCGGACCAGGGCTGATTGATTGCTTGCAGATGCTGCCTGTGCGCCTTTGGTCAAGCATCGCGTCGACGACATGCTCACTTCGCAACCCGAGGCGCCCCATGTCTCTCGAGATGAACTGCGTGCTCATTTCCACTACTTGGCCATGCCGACGCTTGCCCATTTCCTGGCGCTTTTCATGCACGCGCCTGCTGCCTTTCCTCCGCACGGCACGAGCCTGGTCGTCGTAGACTCTCTTGCAACCCTCGTCGATAACGCATACCCCCGCAATGTCGACGACCGTCTGCCCAGAAACAAGACAGATCAGGCACGATGGGCTGCAGGACGTCGATATACCGTCATCAACGAGCTGATAGCCACCCTCACACGCTTCGCTGCACTGCACGACATCGCCCTACTAGTGACGAGCCAGACTATTACACGCATTCGTGGCGCTTCACGCGCATTGTTGGTACCGGCAATATCAGGGATTGAATGGGAGAATGGCGTTTCCACTCGTCTGGTTCTCTTCAGAGATTGGCCCCGGCACGGCAAGGCTAAGAATAAGGTACAAGCCGACAGCTTACAGAAAGCCCGATTTGCTGGCTTAGTCAAGGCGAATGGTGTAGCTCTCGCGGAAGAAGGCGGTGTGGGCAACGTGGTATCCTTCACCATTGACCATGTGCGTCGATATACTACCCGCAGAGCGTTCATTTACCACGATGCGCTCCAATTCCCTGTGTGATGAGCTCCCGCTGACGCTATACAGCATGGTCTTTGCGACATGAACGTAGCAGCCGACGATATTGCATCCCCTCTGTTCGTCCCAACAGAAGCCAGACCGCCTAAAAGATCATTCGCCGAGATCGACGAGGACGTCGCTCGAGAACCCAATTCCGACGAGCTCTATGGCTGGATAGAAGACGATGAAGTCGCCACTGAGGGGTTGTTGATGGATGAAGCAGCCGTCAACGAGAACGACGCTGCGGGACCTCGCCTAGATGTTGTCGCAGAGGGCCATAAGAAGAAGGTAACACGGACATCTACGCTTTGATTGTAGGGGCACCATTCCACCCTACACCTCTGCCACAGTCAAGACCCGCCAAGTTATTGCTATGTCGCGACGCGCGTTGCTCGTCAGACATGCTCTGCTTACATCTGGGGTAAGCTCGTATGTATCTCCCTTCTCTTCATATGCAAGGTCTATAAACTTATGAATCTCCCAGTTGGAACGTAGATCTCGCATTCCCACCGATAATACAGGTCCTACGGCCCGCGGGGATGGGTCTTACTATTCACCCGTGTGGGGTCGTACAGTGCACCCCGGAATGAACACCCACACCTTGTCTCCGCACCAACACGCCTGCACGCCTACATTCGAAGCGCTCTGACATCAGCACCGAGATGCGTCTCCGCGCGCTACGGTCCAATACTCTCGTTTCCGCGTAATCCAGCTCGGGCATGTACGTATTCTTCCGGCGGTAGATTTGCTTCGCATCCGTCCTCCACTTATACAAGTCTGGACACAAAGCCTATGGGTGTCGTCCCCAGGCTAGCGGTGTCCACGAAAAGCAACAAAAAGCAAGTGCACAACACAAGCCTCATCAGCCTTTACACGTGCATGCATCACCCCGGAAGTCTGGTGCACACAGGGATCGGGGAAGCGCCCGCAAACCCAAAGCCCCGGGTTCCTCACCGGCAAAAGTCGTGCTTCTTTTGGATCATGATGGCTTGAGGCTTCGCGAGTCCGGGGTCAGCGGGGTTGGTGTGTCGCCTGGGCGTGGGGGCTGCCACCTATCGCTTGTTTCACGTTCTGATTGCTCGTGGCAGGCCACCTGACCATAGGGTTCAGCTTTGCGACGGGGTTATAGCAAGCCACTGATACAGTGGCATTTTATTACCCCACGGGAAGCACAACGAACTTCACAAACCTACCGGAGAAGCACCTGTTTTCAATGTGGACTCCTGGCAAGCGAAAGTTCATGTCACTGTCCTGCCGCCAAGGGCGCATACGTGAACGAAATCTAGATTTACTTGCTCACCGCCAGTCAGCCACACAAACTGCACAAGAGATGGTGATATCTACGTTCTACAATAATCAGCATCTGTCATGCCAGCCCCGACCCAAGCAGAAACAGCTTCAGCGCATATCATCGGCTCCACCAACAGCAGGGGCGTCGTTCAAGGCCAGATGCAGAAGGTCCTTGCTTTAGTATCAACCCTGCAATGTCACTCCTTCCCCACGCTTCTCCACAAACGCACTACGCTTCGCTGGTCACCGTTGATCCCTTGCCTCGATGGAGGCGGAGGCTGCGTGAAGAGACGGCATTCACGGCCCTCGTGGGCGACTGAGACTCGGTACCCGGGGCCGAGCCGCCTGTGAAGCAAGGTCTTCGCTTCGCTTGGACGCCTGATGTGGGGATCGTGGTGTTGATCCTGATTCTGGTGTTTGGAGTTTTGCTACGCTGCTGCCTCTTCGAGTAATCCGTGGAAGGGTGTGCAAAGGAAGACGACGTGCGTACGTAACGGTATTGTTGCTCGGGTAATGGTGTCCGAGATAACGTGATGCACACTGGAGGATGGTGATAGTGGCTTCGTATGTTGTTCTGCACTATGCATGTTATGGCGAACTTCAGCTTTAGGAAGGAGAGACGAGTGATTGGTGTCAATGCAACGAGTAGTGCCTACTATGTTGTCCGGATGATTCATTTCTGATAATAATAATGCGCTGTACGAGCATGGGCCGGCGGCATTGATACTTGCTGCTCATAGGACACATGATACCACGGCCTGTATTGCCTTCCCTATACATTTGCTAGTACCTGTAGACAGTAATCCGCCTTTGAACAAGATATACTCCTGGCTTAGATGTATTTGGCTGCTATAGGACACTGCATGGCTTTGTCGTTTATAACATAGTGCTCGGGTGGTATTACAACAAGCATCTGAATCGACGCGCTTAGGGGCGACAACAGTATCGCATCACATGAATGTGAATGTCGTGGAGCAGAACATACTTTATTGATTGCTACCTTTAGCGAACGAGTATTATTGCTGTAGTCTTTAAGGATATAAGGTATGTATATGTATAGTGCAAGACCATGCGCAAACACTAGTGCGAAGCTGAGTCGCTACTAAAACAAAATTGCGTAAGACTTTGACTGCGAAAATGGATGGGCGAACTACCGTGCACTCGGCGCAAACACAAACGTGTGAAATCTCACAGGCAGAAGCCGATCCATTGTTCTGCAGGCGTCTTGGCTCAGTCGTCCTACTGACTAAAGTTTGATATGAAGTGGTCATGCACATAGGTCTTTGCTTACTGGGTTTCCATCTCCCGCGATAAGCGGAACGGAAAGACACCACTACCATCCAAATCTGGTACTGAGCACAGCTCACATCAACATAGGCATTTACATAACGACCCAAGCATGAAATGAACCCCAGTGCTGCGCGGTCAGATAAGCGAGACGCGTTCGCCATTGACAAACCAGGCCGGTATAATAGCATACGCTCAAACAGAGACCGTGGAGATCCGAAACAGTACGGTATGTCTGTAATGCCCTAACGCGCAGGAAGAGGATGAGGTTGCGAAGGAACAAGCCATTAGATAAGCACATCCCAACTCTGCTAATCCTGCTCGCGGGCACCTGAAGCCCATTATATCAACTTGTAGGCCACTTCCCATCGACCAAGGACTGGAAACCTCCGTAAATTACCATCGTCCATGTTGATCCTCATCACTTGACAGCTGGGGGTCTCGTAGCGGCCCTCGTGTAAGTAACTCTATCCCCGGCCTCAGAAGTTGCGATCCTGGCACAACGCGAGTCTCCCCGGGGCTAAAGGCAGATCGACATTCTCCCTTCATCCGTGGACTGCATCCGATTGATTGTTCCCAAGATCACGATTGGGGCTGCGTAGATCCATGAGCGGGTGCTAATGAATTGCTGTGGTGCATTAGAGCCTGGAGAAGCGGTAGGTTCCAATCGCGCTCAATAGTTGCGATATAAAGTCTATTGAGTTTGTCAAGCGCAGCGATTGCGGACAAGAACGACGATCTTTGTGCACACTTATGAAGATCGTGGTCTGACGTAGGATCGACATGTGACTGGAGATTTGTTCATGTTGGTTGACTGCATTAAAGAAATTTGCAGACCTCGAATTCCGCCATCGGTGCGTGTCAACCCCAGCTATGCAACATTCGTAACCCGTTCCCACCATCTGTGCACTGGGATTGCCACCGAAGCTTGGCGTGATGTACTGGGGTCGTTTCGTCGTCGCGTCTTATCACTATCTTTGAAGACGACAGCCTGACATCGAGTAGTAAAGAACATGAGCACTACGGTAAATCTAGGCCGAGAACGACGGATCTGATGAGGTGGCGGTATCATCGAAACAAAACCCCTGGATCGCCTTCGCCTCGTCTCGGTCCATGAGCCACTGTCAACGGTGCGGGGCCCCAGAGCCCGACCCGTAGATCAACCGATACTATCGGGTACTGCTGGCTTTGACGCGTAATGGGGTCTTCCAGATTTGCGAAACACGTCAGTATACTGGGTCAGAGAAACCCTGGGGACTCCAGTGTGAAGTCATTAAGCGCCGCAACAGTTGGTGAGTGTCAGGTTGCGCTGGGCGATGAGAAGGTAAAACCCTGGCAGAACTGGTCCCACTGCGCAACAGCTGTCACCCACGGGATTGGAAAGTCGACGGGCACTGGTCCGACCGACGTCGCAGATGGCTGTCTACTAGGACAGAGGTTGCTTGAAACTGTACCTCGGCCGACGTTCGCTATCTTCACGAGCGAAACGCATGGTGGAAAAACGTCGGCATAACTAAGCTGGAGTTGTGCTGGTTTCGGGTCTAGCACTGTGACGTCTGGAAGGACAGTGCTTCTACAAAAGCTTCCACAAAGGCGTACCTTGCATATCGGAGGTCCAGAAGCAGCTAAGACGTCACCGAGGTGGAATGGAGCGGAGCCACAACTCCAGCGACATGCGTTCCGAGAATCTCCGATGCCACGTTTACCACATAACCAGCTCCTGGCTCTGCTGGCGTGAGAAATTTCTGTCGGCTCGGCATAGGCGTACGCTCGGAGGAAGCGCCACAAAGCGGGGCGAGCTATCGAAGGGCTAGCAGTACTCAAAAATTTCTCGAACAAGAGATAAGAATAGCGGACCCGAGATTGAAATTGCAGCGTAGCATTTGCATCAGTGCTCCGCGACGGTATCGGCGACTTTAAGGGACGTAGTCAGGGCCGTGAAGCAGTTCTCACATGGGCAACAATACCAAGGAAGTAGGCGTCATAATGTTCGGGACAGCCGGTCCGTTGCAAAGTCCCCCCACGATCTGCTGCAAAGCCACTCACAGGGGTACGACAGGGTGCGTTGGAGATAACGAGCAGCGGAGATGGGCTGCGGGACCGAGGCGGAGACCACTAGTCACCGAGGGGGTGCGATAAGTACGGAGTAGGGAAAATTCGTCGCGCAGTATGAGCTGATAGTGAAGCCATGTTAATGCTGCTTTTGCCGATGCATCGTCAGTTTTGGGCACGTCTCGGCAGAGATCGCCCTCGCCCTGCGTTGGTTCACCGACTCGCATCTTCATCTGTGACTGTGTGAGTGCACAGGCCGGGAAGACGCATAGAAGGCGGGCCGTAGTATAAGGCAAGGTGGCCGGCTCGGTAGCACGGGGCTACTCGGCTGCGCATGTGCTGGTATGTAGATGATGCGAGAGATATTGCGATGCTGTGCGAGGCACTGCAACGAGGGGTCTCGGGGCGACATGGTGGCTCACTGTTGCTTGCTGTGCCTGCCGTACCCCAGGAAATGATCCCCCACAGCCATGGACGCGTCTTGGATCAGCCCCCGGGCTGCGGTGGAACGCGAACAAAGCCAGTGGGTAAATCAGGTGTGCTGCGTGTGTTGGGGAGCGTTAGTGGTCGTCGGCCAGGGCCAATGGGTGGAGGTGATTGCGGAAGCGCTCAGCACAAGTAACAGCAGCGGGGATGCATGGCCGGATCCCTGAGGGTGGGTGAAATCCGTGGTGTTGTGCTGC